ATGGTCTCAGTGTGTGACCGTTAATTTACTCAGATAGCCTCAGTGTACTCCCAGTGCGTCCATAAGGCGGAAGGGAGTGAGCCAATCAGACCTTGTATAGTTGAGAGAAGCTTTAGCTTCCCGTTGGCAAGAGGGTTTCACTAAGCTGCTCGAGACATGTGGTGTTGTGAGCCGAGGTAGAGGAGAGCTGCTGACCCAACGATCGTCCCGTCGTCAGCTGGGCACCCAGACGGCTAGATTCCCTCAAGAGATCCTTTGATCCCCCGCTAAACAATGACAGGCCTACACTGATCGGTCCAATGGCGACAATTGCCACCCTCAATCATCAACGGCAGTCTCAAACGGCAGTCAATCTCTCGCAGTCAAACTCCGGTCAAGTCTGGTCAAGTGGGTTCTGACGGAAACCCTGAAATGAACTCACTGTTAGCTCTAGTTTACTTTACCACTGCCCTATCTAACCCTGTCTGAGATCGAATGAGACTTACTTGTTATACTGCAATAGCGCAGCTCAGGTGACTAGGCCACGTGACTATTTCTGTGACGGACGCGCAGGGAGGTCTTGTTTGTCTGAATGCTCCCCGTGACTGAGGACCAGCCAGCGTCGCGTCTCCTCTCAAGGCGTTAGCTTAGGCCTACGTGACATATTTTCCGCCTAACTAATAACTCCTTGGGACACCCATAACATTATTCAGACTGATAAACGATCTATAATAATTTCAAATTCAATAATAGTCCCTTAACTTCATGAATCGCATCATTATTAATTCGGCAAATTACATTTAATATCATATAGGCCTAGTTCCACAACTTCTCGCTATGTGCGGGGAGCGCTCTCTTCCCTCAGACGACCTTGAACGCTCAGTATCGCTAATGGCGGGGCATTTGAAATTACTCTGAAATTTCTGAATATTATACATATATATTGTAGAGGTCAGATTCATGTGGGTAATGTCACTGTTCACTGCCATGCAGGACAGAGGTTCGTACACAAAGAAATGCATCATATTCATTAGCAGTATATATAGGTCAGTGGTTCACATTGTTGGACGTCATATTCTAATTGAAGACTAATCAGTGTGGGCTTAGCAAATTTGGGATATACAGCAAGAATGTCCTCAAGCACCCTGATTCAATGAGTAATAACAAAGTTCAACATACAATAAGTCAGGTGGCCTGAAATCCTTGACAGTGTTACATTCAATAATATATGTGTTCAAGTGTATGCTTTAAGGTTTATCACAAAGTTTATGCTGAGTGTTTCGGTATGGGTACAGCGTTACTAACTTGCCAGATGTGTCTGTATCCTAGCCTAACTCTGGCCAGACTACATCACATCGTTTGGTTCTGTCCTTATGCTGGCCATACCGGTACCTCTCGTCACAAAATTTGTCATATTTACTAATGCTACAACTGTCAGGTCTCTCTGCATTTCTCAATTCTTCTAGATCAGAGTTCATGAATCTGACTTGAATGTTTTAAGTACAGCATTGGACAGGCCAAGGTCACGGTCAGCATTTTCTTTCTTACATGCCAAATCAACCAGAATTGTAAATATCAGGAAAAATGGGCTGCCTTCCTATCTGAGAGGATAGCTCTACTTAATACCATGTTTTGTGTCAAAGTTTTTGAAGAACAATGGTCCCCAAACTACAGCTCAAACTGAGTTGATGTTCTATCTAAATAATCCCGACTATCTCGCTAACCTTCCTAAACGACTCTCTTTGGGGCGTGGCTACATAAAAGTGTTCAAGGCTCACTTTGGGGCGTGGTTTCAAAAAAGTGTTGCAGATCTCTTGAAACTGAATGTCCCAATAATCACTCAGACGAACCCATTAATGCCATTCCTCCTTGGCTGGTTATATCAGTTCTTATTAATTACACTCCTGTTGGTAGAAAGTAAATGTTACACCTATGTGATGAGATGTATTACACTAGAAACTATTACTAGTCACATAGAGATTATTAAATCAAGTGAATGTTATGCTTTTTACTGATGGTTCTGTGCAGACAAACACAGGGAGAACAGGCTGTGCATTTGTAATATATAAAAGAAAATGAGATGATAGTGTCAAACAAGCAAAGGCTGAACAACTGGCCCAGCACAACACAAACTGAACTCATGGGAATCTACTTAGCTACAGGCTACCTTAAAAAGAAAATGGAGGTGGGTGATATTCTGTGACTCCCAAACTGCTTTGAAATCAATGAACAGTCCGTCAGGCTCTATGTCTAAAGTTGTATATGATATTAAAAAGAAATGTGATAACTGCCAATGAGAACAACTCGTATTGAATTTGTGTGGATTCCGTCCAATTTGGAATTAGGTATCATGACCGTGCTGATAGAGCTGGCCAGTGAGGCATGTAAGAAAGAAAATGTTGACCGTGACCTTGAACTGTCCAATGCTGTACTTAAAACATTCAAGTCAGAATCATGAACTCTGATCTAGATGAACTGAGAAATGCAGAGAGACCTGGCAGTTGTAGCATGAGTAAATATGACAAATTTTGTGACAAGAGGTACCGGTATGGCAGCATAAGGACAGAACCAGACAATGTGATGCAGTCGTGGCCAGAATTAGGCTAGGATACAGACACATCTGGCAAGTTAGTAACCTGTACCCATACGAACACTTAGCATGTAAACTTTGCAAACCTTTAAAGCATACACTTGAACACTATATTTATATTATTGAATGTACACTATCAAAGACTTCGAGTACCTGGCTTATTGTATCATGAACTTTGTAATTACTACATTGAATCAGGAGTGTTTGAGGACATTCTTGCTGTCTATCCAAAATTTTCTGCTGGTCACTGATTAGTCTTCAATTAGAATATGACTTCTACTATGTGAACCACTGACCTGCATGGCAGTGAACAGTGATATCACCCACATGACTCTGGATGGGAGCCAGACTGGGACCATTGGTTGTGGTTTGGTTAGCGGCACCATAAGTTACTATCGCCCAGAGCTGTAGTGCTATAGGGCGGGTAGCTCAGGTTCCTTGTTCTGAAGATGGCACAGGTTATTGGTGGCCACTCATTGTACCACCTGGTGATGGTGGCCACCCATTGTACCACCTGGTGATGGTGGCCACCCATTGTACCACCTGGTGATGGTGGCCACCCATTGTACCACCTGGTGATGGTGGACCCATTGTACCACCTGGTGATGGTGGCCACCCATTGCTTCCTGGTGATGGTGGCCACCCATTGTACCACCTGGTGATTTTTTTTTTTTTTTACTGGACACTACTCCCGTACAGCCTTGTGCAAGGTGAAGCGCAGAAGCGTTTACAGTGCCCAACAGGGAAGCATGCTAAGTTCATGCTTGCCTTTATATCTCATGAGTTAAGGGCGTAGAACCCTGAAGAGTCAATGGTTTATGTCATCAAGTTGTTGGAAGCTCCAACAACTTGTCCCTGAATACGAATTCTCAACTTTCGATTTACGTCAGGTACCTACTTTACTGCTAGGTGAACAGGGACTAATGGGGGCTAGGAAGCATGTCCAAACAACTTCCACCGGCCCGGGAAGCGAACCCGTGATCACCTGGTGATGGTGGCCACCCATTGTATCACCTGGTGATGGTGGCCACCCATTGTATCACCTGGTGATGGTGGCCACCCATTGTATCACCTGGTGATGGTGGCCACCCATTGTATCACCTGGTGATGGTGGCCACCCATTGTATCACCTGGTGATGGTGGCCACCCATTGTACCCTGGTCATGGTGGCCACCCATTGTATCACCTGGTGATGGTGGCCACCCATTGTATCACCTGGTATTACACCTGCTTGACAAATAGACACACACACACAATCCGTTGCTGATAGTCCTTAACCTAACCTAACCTAACCTCACCTACCTAACCTAACCTCACCTACCTAACCTAACCTAACCTGACCTAAGCTAACCCCTCAGGTAGCGTTAGGATAGTTCATCTTAAAATGAAAAAAACTGGGGGAGATGTCTAAGCTTACTTGTATTTACTGCTGGGCCCGAAGTTGGTGGTGAGTCAAGAGTTAATGAAGACAAGAGATAAAGTTTATCTTATCTGTTGGCTGTGTTAGATTGTCAGGGCAATTCTTAAGAAAATACTCACACACACGTCATTTCTTGTCCCATTAAAGATAATAAAGATAAGACTCAGTTTGGTAAGTTTATTTTAGGTTAGGTTAGGTTAGGTTAGGGTGAGTTAGGGTAGGGTAGGTTAGGTTAGGTTAGGTTGGGTTGGGTTGAGTTGAGTTAGTTTAGGTTGGGTTTGGTTAGGTTAGGTTGAGGTTGGGTTGGGTTGAGTTAGTTTTAGGTTGGGTTTGGTTAAGTTGGGTTTGGTTGGGTTAGGTTAGGTTTGGTTGGGTTAGGTTGGGCTAGTTTAGGTTGGGGTAGGTTGGGTTGGGTTAGGTTAGTTGGGTTGAGTTGGGTTGGTTTGGGTTGGGTTGGTTTAGGTTGGGTTTGGTTGGGTTAGGTTGGGTTTGGTTGGGTTGGGTTGGGTTGGGTTGGGTTGGGGTGGGGTGGGTTGGGTTGGGTTGGTTAGGGTGGGGTTAGGTTGGGTTGGTTGGTTTGGGTTGGGTTAGGTTGGTTTGGGTTGGGTTGGTTTGGGTTGGGTTAGGTTGGGTTGGGTTGGGTTGGGTTTGGTTGGGTTAGGTTGGGTTAGTTTGGGTTAGGGTGGTTGGGTTAGGTTGGGTTGGGAGTTGGGTTGGGTTGGTTTGGGGTAGGTTGGTTAGGTTGGGTTGGTTTGGTTTGGTTTGGGTTGGGTTAGGTTAGGTTGGTTTAATTTTGGTTTTGGTTGGGTTAGATTAGGTTGGTTTAGGTGGGTTAGTTTAGTTTAGGTTAGGTTAGGTTAGGTTAGGTTAGGTTAGTTTAGGTTAGGTTAGGTTAGGTTAAGGCTGTTAGCGACGGGATATTTATGGTAGGGAAGGATAGTATCAGGGAACTTAGCATAATATCCACGATCTGTTGCCGGGAACATAGTAGATAATGGTAAATGAGTTCCACGTCTCACTAGCTGGGAGTGGTAGTCGACTACTATCCCTCATCGCCGATACACACACACACACACGCCAGCGACCTCGATCCTCTTTCATTAGCAGTCACAGGTAAGTTAAGTGTTGGTGCGTTGGATAGGTTGAATGCTTTTTGTTTATCAAATTTATTGGCAGAGCTTGTAGTACAGTTTGCCTATTCCGAGCAATTCAGTCAGGTCTTGACACTGAGGGTGGTATCACTTCTCACTGTCACGCAGGACAGAGGTTCACACACAAAGAAATACATCATATTCATTAACAACTATAAATGTATAGAGGTCAGATTCATATGGGTAATGTCACTGTTCACTGCCATGCAGGACAGAGGTTCGTACACAAAGAGTTGCATCATATTCATTGACAGTACATATACATATATGTAAACACACACACACACATATACATACATATACGTATATACATACACATATACATGTACACGTACATATACATGCACACACGCACACATACATACATATACGTCGGTCAGATTCATGTGGGTAATGTCACTTTTCACTGCCATACAGGACAGAGGTTCGTACACAAAGAATGCATCATATTCATTGACACTATATATAGGTCAGATTCATGTGGGTAATGCCACTGTTCACTGCCACGCAGGACAGAGGTTCGTACACAAAGAAGGAAATACATCATATTCACCAGCAGCATATATGGGTCAGTGGATCACATACATTGGAGTCATATTCTAATTGAAGACTAATCAGTGTGGGCTAGCAAATTGGGATAAACAGCAAGAATGTCCTCAAGCACCCCTGATTCAATGAAGTAATTACATAGTTCAAGATACAATAAGTCAGGTGGCCTGAAGTCTTTGACAGTTGAATGCTCTCTCTCTCTCTCTCTCTCTCTCTCTCTCTCTCTGACATGAATAAAATCGTCTGGCGTTAACCAAATAAAATAGTGAAGGTGTTAAGATCGTGAACTGTTGTTATTAATTACTGCTATAATGTAAACGGGTGCGTATAATTACCCGTTATGTCTGCAACTCAACTTCCTACTTTACTCAAACTCTTTTTACTTTATTTTCTAGTTAAGTTAAGTTAGGTTACATTAGGTTAGGTTATAGTTAGGTGTGTAAGGGAAATACCATCACTTGAAATGTAGTCCCGGTACATAAATTCGATTGGCAAAGAAGACATACGTTATATTACAGTGCTGGAAGGTGTGAGACATATGGCTGATGTGTGTTGTTTGTGTCCACGGTGGGTTTATGTCCTTATTATTGCCTTCAATTTTGTATTTAATTTATATTCTCGTGTTTGGAAGAGGAAGTCGTATTAATGACAAAAAATGCAGGTAGTAGGCAGCTGTCAAACAGGGAGGTACTACTGCCTGGGACCCTGCTGCCATATGTGACCAAGTCCCAGGTTGATGATCTGACTTTCTGCCTCATTTACACACAATTGCAGGGTCTCAATTGTTTCTCTTACTTGACAACACAACATATATATATTGTTTCTCACTATTGATCTTTTTTTTTAATTTTTGTATTTTTTTATGGTCCTTAATTATTATTATTATTATTATTATTATTATTATTATTATTATTATTATTATTATTATTATTATTATTATTATTATTATTATTATTATTATTATTATTATTATTAATATTATTAATATTATTAAAATTATTAAAATTATTATTATTATTATTATTATTATTATTATTATTATTATTATTATTATTATTATTATTATTATTATTATTATTATTATTATTATTATTATTATTATTATTATTATTATTATATTTTCGCCCCCCCCCCCCAGGCCCTGATGTGGGTCATCGACCTGTGACCTGGTGGGCTAATCCTGTAAAAAAAACCAAGAAACATTACAACAAAAACCACACTTTCCTCCCTTGACTCAACTTCGCTAATTTTTGTGCTGACTTGCTGACCTCTCGGCGGCTATAATGTCACCAGAGAGAGTAAGCCATCCTTATGTAATCCTTGGCTACTACAGTGCGGCCTAGAGCAAAAATTTGAAACTAGGGAATACTGAAGCTGAATCACAGTTCGTAAAGGCACAGAACGTCGGAATTTCTTTATTCTTCTGCTCTCCTAGGCTGACGCACACGCTGTTTACATGTATGTTTCTGAAATGTTGTCCTCTTATAAATGCTGCCCATGTGTGAGTTCTATAGTTTCTCTTAAAAAGAAAAGCCCGACAAATAAAACAATTATGTTCGTATATACTGTGCGCACCACGACCGCCTTTGCCCCTCTGTAATTGTCCCACAAGCAGCGTTAGTTTCACATGTGGCCTTCCGGCCACATATTGGCCAAGGTAACTTCTCCTAAAAAGTTGAAAACTCCTTATTTGTTGGTTCCCGCAGAAACTCTGGCCATTGCTGTGGCAGCCTCGCTATGCTGGCCACTCTTACTCTCCCCCAAGGCCGCGTCTCTCCAGTAGTTTCCTTCAAGCAGGTTCTAAAGTCAAAACTTTACCATCCTCATGTGGTTGTGGCTCATCCTGGTCGGTAACATAAATGTAAGACAGGAGTCTGACGTGCTTCTAAACCTCAGCTCCCTAAACTGTGACAGAGAGGGCGGGGAGTGTTGGTTTTCGTGGGCCAAGAACACTGCTGGACCACCACTGTGCACCTGATTTGCCCTGCACAGCCTTTCATAAAGTTTTGTATCCGCTTTGATACTTGACTGTTGCGAGTCTTTTTTTTTCTTCAAGTTTTGGATTTTTTCCTTATTGAAACTATTCTTAGTTGTAGTGCAGGGTGGTGTGCTCTTGTCCTGCAATACTTTCTCTCGCACTGTGTCTGACCAACAGCTGTAAGATGGTTCACATTCCTGGCTGTTAAGTACAACATTTTAAGGTAATCGGCATTTGACCTTAAAACTGAAGGTCAAGAAAGTGATCCCGGCTCACAGAAATGGTCCATCTTTCAAGCTTTTCTCCAACAAGTAACAATACGATCCAAAAATGAGGTTGACAAATAGACTATTGATGGGAAATGCTTATTCCATGTCGCTTTCATTGAATCTTCCAGTAACACTATTTTTGAATACCCTACTGCTAACCTAACCTAACCTAATCTAACCTAACCTAACCTAACCTAACCTAACCTAACCTAACCTGGAGTGTCTTATCTTCAGGTGATTACATTTACTTTAATAATCTTCGTTTTTCTTTACCAGTCAGTCATGTGGCTGTTGAAGGCTGCTCGAGGTGTTCGGGCCACAGCTGCTGCCCTCACCACACAGTATACCAGGTAAGTGTTTCTCAGTCTCTCCCATCATCTCTGTGTGTCTCAGTCTCCCAATCATCTTTCAGTGTTTCTCAGTCTCTCCCATCATCTCTGTGTGTCTCAGTCTCCCCATCATCTCTCAGTGTTTCTCAGTCTCTCCCATCATCTCTGTGTGTCTCAGTCTCCCCATCATCTCTCAGTGTTTCTCAGTCTCTCCCATCATCTTTCAGTACCTCCCATCACTTATCTCTTTGTTTATCTCCACCTTTTATCAATAACCTGTCGCCAGTCCACTTATAAACGATATCTCTCGTTCCCCAGGTCATTTCGACGTGACCTGACCACGACCTGGGCTGCCTGCAACATCCAGAGGTCACACGTACCAGATATTGACCTGCCCTCTGGTAACTTGGTCAACACCATCTTTAAGAATGTATCGAAGTGGGGTAACAAGACCGCTACGGTAAGGAGGAGAAGAGGAAAGAAGGGGGGGATTATGGGGAGGGAAAAGGAGGTTGAGGAAGAGGAGGGGGAGTGGGCAGGGAATCCCAACCTTTTTAATCTGATGAGTACCCAGTTTATTTTTAAATGATCAAGGGAGCACCATTGTACCATATACTGAAGTGTATACTCTACCCAACAACCGCCGTCAGATGGTCACGTAAAAGATCACACCATGAGCTCAGGGCCCTGTGTACATAATAACATAAGAGTGGAGAAAACTGCGTACGAGTCAGTCCCGTTTACACCCAACCCCCATCACTCATATATCCATCCAACTTATGTTTAAAGCTATCCGGCGTATTAGAGTTAATGATGATGTTTGGTAACTTGTTCCACTCGTCCACTACTCTATTTCCAAACCAATGTTTACCTATTTCGCGCCTAAATCTAAATTTGACTAATTTAAAACCATTGCTGCGAATTCGCTCCTGGTTGGATAGTTTTTAAGTACCTTTGTTTTGTCACGCTTGTTTAGCCTTGACTTCCATTTATACACCTCGATCCTATCGCCCCTCACTCTACGTCTCTCGAGGGAGTGCAAATTAAGATGTTTTAATTTGTATCTATACTCAAGGTTCCCCTGATGGCTTTCTCGGGATTCCATATCCATTCTTTAGTTCGGTGACCAAAACTGAACTGCGTAATTCAAGTGAGGTCTAACAACCGCAACATATAGTTTTAGGATGACCTGGCTAGTCTTGTAACTAAGGGTGAAGGCACACTAGGCACTTTCCTCCATACATGTTGCCCGTTTTGCTGGCTATTGGCCTAAACGCCAAGCAAGCAGCAGGATTTCTGCTGTTGTGAGAAATGGACAGCGGTTCGGCGGGGATCTTTGGCTGGATTAGTGTTCAAATGAGCTTTATATAATTTCCAGTAAAAATTTAAACAAATCATGAAACAATAAAAATATAAAATATATTGCATTAACAGTGACATGTTTCTATTTGTTCGTCACTTTAAAACTTCTGTAGTCTTCTTTGACCAGCCAGCCGCCGCTACTTTTAAAGAAACTTCATGCCACATCCATTTGTCTTTTCTTTTGCTTTAGCAGACGCGTCACCTGCTTCACCAATTGAAGAACTATTGCAAAATCCTTCAAGGCCTCAACTGTAGTAACGGGATCCATGGTGAACCTCGTCAAGACGCTTTCTCACAGTCGGATTTCTCTATATCATCGTTGTTCATCTGATATCTGATTTCTCTGTTTACATCTCCTAGGCAAGTACTTTACATTTGTCCACATTAAATTTCATTTCTCAATTTTCAGACCAGAGTCCTCGTCAGATTTTAATTACACGTCCTATTTTAGTATCTTCAGTAAATTTACTTATGTTGCTGTCTACGCCTATATCTATGTCTTTGATGTATATAATAAATAGTAATGGTCCAAGTACTGAGCCTCAGGGTACCCCACTAGTGACGTTACCCCAATCGGATTTAGTGCCGTTTATGCTTACTCGCTGTTCCCTGTCCTGTAACCACGCCCTGATCCAATTTAGAATATCTCCTCCAATGCCATGAGCCTCCACTTTATGTATCAGTCTTTCGTGGGGGACTCTGTCGAAGGCTTTGCTAAAGTCAAGATATACCACATCATAGTCGTGCCCCTCGTCCACCGATTCGAAAAGAGATGAAAAGACTGTTAATAGATTAGTTAGACATGAACGCCCGCTTGTGAAGCCATGTTGGGAATCATTGATCAACTTGTGCTTCTCCAGGTGATTTCGAATAGAGTTTGAAATTATTGCTTCCAGTAATTTGCCTAGAATTGATGTTAAACTGGTTGGGCGGTAGTTAGAGGATAGTGATCTATCCCCCTTCTTGAAAATCGGTATCACATTCGCTATCCTCCAGGATTCTGGTACTACAGCCGTTTTTAATGACATGTTAAACAACTTTACTAAGGGCATAAGCTCTTCCTTACATTCCTTTAATACTCTGGTAAGTATCTCATCGGGAGCTGGTGACTTATTAGGCTTTAGTTTGTCTATTTGTTTACTAACATCGTTACTAGGCACTACTATCTCGCTTAATCTATTTTCTTCCCGATCTCTGTATAGAGTCGGTGCCTCGGGTATCGTTTTAAAATAATTATCCGTTGTGATAACTGATGAAACATAACCGTTATGATTATTGGTCATTTTCCCGTCATTATCAGTTAGCTCGCCGGTATGTGACTGTATTGGTCTAATCGTATGACGTGTTTTAGTTTGAGCAGAACTGACGATTTCTCTACAAAATCCGTCACTGTTAATATTTTTTTTTGCAGCATTTATGGTTTTAAAACGTAACTTTCGACACGAATAATTATATTGCTATAATATTTCAAACTAACAATAGTCCTGATTTATGTACTGTACAGCCCTGTAAATGTATTCAACGCATATCATTATGTCTAAATAAAATATAAGTTTGTATATTTTCAGCCACCGGCTGCAACTCTATTAATAAACCGTTTATTATTATTATTATTATTATTATTATTATTATTATTATTATTATTATTATTATTATTATTATTATCATTATTATTATTATTATTATTATTATTATTATTATTATTATTACACACACACACACACACACACACACACACACACAGACACACACACACACACACACACATAGACACACACATGTCGTTGATAATAGATGATAAAAACGGACGTATTATACTAGCGTGCATCCCTCCCCTGACTATGTCCAAAGTCGAATCCCCGAGACAGATGTGTGAGAAGGTATCATCCCGAGTCATTACCAAATATCACAGGTGTTTCTCAGGTGCTCCAGTTTCCTCTTGTGCCTGCCTGTGTGTCTGTATGTGTGTCTTTCTGCATGTCTTCTTGTCTGTATTTCTGTACAAATATCTCTCTATCTGTGTCTGTATGTGTGTCACGTTCCATAATCACATTGCCTTATAAAAGACAACATAAAAGATCTCATTGTTTTCTTAGAGTTTTTACAGCATATTACTTTGAGGGGGGAGGGGAGATATCACATTCCAAATTCTTTTTATTGTTGATAATTCTAGATGATAAGATATGCTAATTAGGCTCTAGTTGTTATTGGCTGTCACTCTGATAAGACGGCCAAGGTATGTTCTGAGAGATTATCTGACGCGTCCCACTTAAATTACATCTGACCCTTTTTCCTCGTTACTGGCCAGTGTAGCGTATAAATGACTTTTGGGTAGTTTGGACAAGGACTGATAGGGTAAATTGCCTTCCATCCACGAACTGGTCAAAGTACCATTACTGAGGAGATTAATACAACATGTAATTTTTCACTGTAGGATTATGGTAGACAATTCCATAATATGACTAGGTGTGGTTTTCCCCCTTGTTAGATATTTATTTAACTTTCTATTGTAGTTTTATCTAAGTTCAGTCCAGCATCAGATTACTTGGACGACAACCTGTGTACCTGAGATGCGGTGTATAGCTACAATATACTCTTAAGGTGTATTACAAAACATTCTAGGTTGGTAGCACCGTTATGTACCGACGAGATGAGTAGTACAGTATAGGTATCAGAAGAGATGTACCGGAAACAGATATATTAGAGAATTTTTTGGCGGTACAACTCGGTATATTTTGTAGGAGTGTACCGTGACTGGCCGCCGGTACACATACTCTCAGCTGATGGACCGGATAGCCAGATGGGGGGGTTTCCTCACCAAGTTGGGGGTACACAGAGGGGATGTGGTGGGGGTGGCACTTGGCAACTGTCCTGAGTATCCCATCGTCTTCTTCGGTGCCATTGCCATAGGGGCCGTCGCCACTACCATCAACCCAGCCTATTCTGCAGGTTAGTGTTGCCATACGGCCGTGTATTGCCATTGTGAGGTGTGTTGCCTTATTGTGTTGCCATAGTGTGATGTATTGCTATAGTATGGTGTATTGTCATAGTCGAATATATTCCTGTAGTGTGTGTTGCCATAATGTATTGCGTTAGGATGGTATGTTGCCATAATGTATTGCGTTAGGATGGTAAGTTGCCATATTGTGTGTTGCCATAGTGTGGTGTGCCAGCCTGGTTGACATAATGCAATACTATCTACTCCCTGAATCTCTTGCCATCTCTCGTCAGTTCTTTATATAACTCTGACATCTTCCCCTCAGTAGTAACCTGACCTCATTGTCTTATATCTCCTCCGTCTCTTCCTTCTTCTCCTCCTCTTCCCCTTTCCTTCATCCTCTTGCTCCTCCTTCTTGTGTTCCTTCTCCTCCTCTCCCCATCCTCTTCCTCTTCTTTCTCCCCCTCTTCCTCCTTTTCTTCCTTCCTTTCCTCCTCCTCTTCCTTCCTTTCCTCCTCCTCTTCCTTTCTTTCCTCCTCCTCTTCCTTCTTCTCTTCCTCTTCCTCACGCACTTATTAACACACCCTCACTACCCTTCCTTCACCCTTAACAGAGGAGATCGCTCGACATCTACGTGACAGCGAGGCGAAGGTGCTGGTTGGAGACCCTCTTATGCACCAAACAGTCACGGAGGCCCTCAAACTATACAAATCTCCTACCCACCTGGTGCTCAACGGGCCCCCAACTACCTCAGGGACCCTCAACCTACAACAGATCATTGAGGACCCCACCGTTCCCTTCACCGACCCCGTCATGGTAGGATGTTTACTGTAATATATAGCGGTTTCTGGCTCCACTAATTTCATTATAACTCACTGCTCTGATACGAGGCATCTTATCCACCCAGAATGCGAAGCCTGATAAGAACATAAGAATTAAGGAAACTCCAGTAGGTCTTTTGGCCCATACTAGGCAGTCCTGTTTACACCCAACGCTAATCGCTCATATATCCCTGTTCCAGCGTATTCGAGTTAATGATGGTGTTTGGTAACTTGTTCCACTCATCCACTACTCTATTTCCAAACCAATGTTTACCTATTTCGCGCCTAAATATAAATTTGTCTAATTTAAAACCATTGATACGAGTTCGCTCCTGGTTGGATTGTTTGAAAACTTTTGTTATATCACGTTTGTTTAACCCTGACTTCCATTTATACACCTCGATCATGTCGCCCCTCACTCTACGTCTCTCGAGGGAGTACAAATTAAGATGCTTTAACCTGTCTCTGTACTCAAGGTTCCTGATGCCCGGGATTAGTCTTGTCATTCTCCTCTGAATGCTTTCTAGGGATTCTATATCCATTCTGCAGTACGGTGACCAGAACTGAACTGCTTAATCCAAGTATCCAAGTGAGGTCTGACAAGCGTAAGATATAGTTTAGGATGACCTCGCTAATCTTGTGAGCAACATTCCTTTGTATGAACCCGAGTACTTTGTATGAACCCGAGTACTTTGTATGAACCCGAGTACTCTGTATGAACCCGAGTACTCTGTTTGCCTTGTTTCGAGCAAATACGTATTGTTGACTTAGTTTAATGTTCCTACTTATCATTACTCCTAAATATTTCTCATAAATGGATTTCTCTACATCAACGTTGTTCAGGTGACAGTTGGTTCTTCTGTGTATATCCTCTAGTCTTAAAACTTGACATTTATCCACATTAAAATGATCTACGATTTTTCAATCGTCAGCAAATTTACTTATGTTGCTGTCTACTCCTATATCTATGTCGTTTATGTATATAATAATTAGTAATGGTCCATGTACTGACCCTTGAGGTACTCCACTAGTGACGTTACTCCAATCGGTATTATTGCCATTAATGCTGAATGTTTCCTGTCCTTCAGTTAAGCCATAACCTAACCTAACCTAACCTAACCTAACCTAACCTAACCTAACCTAACCTAACCTATACGAACTTCTACAGCTTACAGGTGAGGAGGTAGCAGCCTTACCTTACTCAAGTGGCACGACTGGGTCTCCCAAGGGCGTGTCCCTCTCCCACAATGCAATCACCTCCAACACCGTCATGGTCACACACCCAGATGTCTTCATGGCCCAGGAAACTACAGGTGAGAACGGACTAACTTACCTGTCCTTAGAGCTTGGCCTGGGTCCTTGGGGGTCCTTAGGGGGTGTTCTGGGGTCAGTCTATAACCTTCCTTGGGTTCAAGTCACATGAGTCCCCAATATCTGTCATTATTCTCATTATCTTCAGTTATCCCTCTCCCCTTCTCACCATTTTCTCTCTCTTCTCCTACCCTCTGATATTTTCTTAGACATAAGAAAGTTAATAAATGATACCAGGATAATTCTTGGATATTTGTAGAGCTTTATAGATGTATATTATAGGGAACATGGCAGAGTATTATAATGCATACAGTAGGGCATAAAAGAGACTGCTGAAGTGCCCTTTATTATTATTATTATTATTATTATTATTATTATTATTATTATTATTATTATTATTATTATTATTATTATTATTATTATTATCACTACGGTATTAGCACTTATAACAACAACAACAACAACAGCAAAAACAATAATAATAATAATAATAATAATAATAATAATAATAATAATAATAATAATAATAATAATAATACATACACAAAACAAAACAAAAATAACAATAACAGTAATAATAATAACAAAGACAGAAAACAAACAGCAATAATATGATCTTCACTACAGAGGAAAACCAGGAGAGCTATATGGGCCTTCTACCCTTCTTCCACGTGTCTGGGATCGCCGTTTTAATGAGTTCCGGGTTTTATGAAGGAGTCAAGTTACTTACTGTGCCTAAGTTTGACCCAAAGACCTACATCTCTTCCGTCGTCCAGCACAAGGTGAGGTGAGGAGGAGGGGGTGGGTGAGGGGGGGTGGGGGAAGGGGAAGGCGAGGGCAAGTGAGGAGAGGGTGAAGACGAGGAGGAGGGGGGTGTGGGAGTAGGAGGAGGGTTGGAGGTTAT